GTCATTTTAGAATCATACTCAGTATTTTGTTGGATGAGTTTCAGTTATTGAGGCCTGATGATGTGAACAAAGTGCTTGGTTCAGTGTGATGTACTACCTGTATTCTCAACCCTTGCCCATCACGGTTAATTGGAAAAACTAAGGAAGGGATTTGCACCCTGGTCCAGGAAGTGGTAAATGCCTCTTTGAGAGGGAGTGGTACCAGCCTTTTTAAGGGGGGCTGTAATCAAGCCACTTCTAAAGAAGCTGAACTTGGACCCAGTGGATGTAAACAATTATAGTCTGACCTATTGCAAATATTCCCTTCCTGGGCAAGGTGTTCAAGTGGGTGCTGGCCAGACAGCTCAAGCACTCTTGTGTGAAACTATCTGAATATATTTCAGTTGGGTTTCAGGCCTGGTTTTGAAATGGAACTGCATTGGTCACTCTGTGGTATGACCTGCACCAGAAGAAAGCAACCCTGTTTCTTCTCCAAGACTGCTCTGGCTTTTGACACCATCAACCATGGTGCTGTTTTGAATAAGCTGGCCAGGATAGGAGTTGGATGCATTGCATTGGTTCTGAAATGGCTGAACAATTACAGAAACTAGTACTGGGGGATTAGTGCTCTGTGCTATGGCAGTTATGCCATGGGGTACTGCAGGGCTCTATTTTATCCCCCATGCTTTTTAACAACTACATGAAACTGCTGGGAGGGGTTATCCAGAGGTATTGGCTGAGATGTCATCAATATAAAGATAACACTCAGCTCTACCCCTCCTTTTGATCAAATCCAGGTGAAGCAGTGACCATTCTAAATTAGTGCCTGAATGCAGTAATGGACTGGATGAGGAACAATAAAATGAGACTCAATGCAAACCAAACAAGACAAAGGTGCTGTTGGTCCAGTTTGGAGACTTTCAACCAGTCCTGGATGGGGTTGCACTCCCTCTAAAGGACAAGATTCATAGTTTTGGGGTACTCCTAGACCCACAGCTATGACTAGAGTCACAAGTGGAATCAGTGGCCAGGAGCGTTTTTTTATAAACTTTGACTGATTTACCAAGTATGTCCCTGTCTGGCCAGGTATTTATGTTCTGGTAACCTCTAGTTGGACTATTGCAATATGCTCTATGTGGAAGTGCCTTTGAAAATGGTCTGGAAACTTCAACTTATTCAGAATAGCATAGCATGGCTACCAATGGGGACTGGCCCATTGGATCAGCTGCACTGGCTGCCAGTTGAAGTCTGGACCCAATTCAAAGTGCTTGTTTTAATATTTAAAGCCCAAAATGGCTTGGGACAGGTTATCTAAAGGAATGCCTTGTGCAATGTTTCTACCCTACCCTTAAGATCATCTGTTGAGGTCCTTCTCAGGGAACCCCTGCCCCCAAGAAGGGGGTAGCAACCAGGAGAAAGGCCTTTTCAGTAGTGGTACCCAATCTCTGGAACATGCTCTCCAGAGAGGAGCACCTGGTACTATCCCTGATATCTTTTTGGTATCAGGTGGAAACCTTTTTATTCTCTAAACATTTTAATGGTAAAGTCTGTGTGTTGTATTCCCGAGACAATTTTAAATATGGATTATAAATTGCTGTTGTTCCTGGTAGTTATCCTATGGTTGCTGGTTGTCATATTGCTTTTTTCATAGGATTTTATGAGTACCAGGTATTTTTATGAGTATTTTATGAATGGTATTTATAATTTTAATAATTGTAAACCACCCAGGAAAGCCTATGGGCTACAGGGCAGCATAGAAAATAAATAAATAAATAAGAATAAAGCCTTCCTCTTAAGATAGAGTAATGATTTAAAGTTTAATTATGACAAATTGAATATTGTACTTTTAAAGACATTTATTCAATGTTGGTGGTCTTTGGGTGACGAAAGTATGGAACACGTTAGATGTTTTCAGTAATTTGCAGTTACATTCTATTACTTTATCTCAAGAGCTTTACAAATAGTCTCTGCTCTTCAGAAAGTTCAAGTGAATCAGACTGCAATTTTCCCCTACACAAAAAGGGCACAGTTTGTTCCTGATTTTTAATACTAAGATAACATCTTTAATACTAAGATAACATCTTCATTAAGGAGTTGAGGAACTACATAGATTAGGGAAGTTTCTTCTGGTGTTAACGGTATTCCATCTGGATTTTTATATGCACATTTATACATCCTTTGATGTTTCCCAAATGCAGTTATATTAAAGCTAGCAGGACAGTGACATTGGAATATGAGTGCCTGGATGGCTGCCTTGAAGATTCAGTTTAACATTTGTATCTTTACAAGGGCTTAAAAGATTCTAAGTGTTTGGATGATGTGTGCTACTCAGAAAGTTTGCTCTATTGGGTTATTGCCCCCTTTTCTTTTTCAAATGGAGTATCATTTTGCAATACCTATGATTAAACAGACATTTTGGGATTTCTCTTTTCAAGATCTTTCTGCTCAAGCATATACTTGTTCCTTAGCTGCGTATCTAAGAAATTTGTATTTTGTTAAATAAATTAGAGCCTTTATTTGATCCAATTTAACATGTTACCACTTAAATGCTTTGGGATTGGTGATGTTCCTCAGCCTCATTCATTTAATCATGAGGAGATAATATATTTGGAACATGTCTTTTCAATTCTGTAAGTTTTATGGAATCTGGCAGCAAATAATTCCAACTGGATTCACACTGCCCAGCCATTTTTAATTAAATATTGTACTAATATCACTGTGGCTATTTTTTTGTTTGTGGTAATACACATAAGTATCAATTTATGATGTGACAGATTTATAAGAAATGACCTAAAATATCCTAAGTTCAGGCTGAAGATGTTGAAATATTATGATACCTTTTGTAATTGTATACTTCTAATTCTGGTCTGTTCACTGCTAGAAAGTGGGCAGTGGGCAGAAAATAGATTTCTAGATCTTCTGGACTTCAAGTTCCAGATATACCTGCCAGTAAGATGGGAATGCTGGAAATAGGAAGTCCAAAGCACCTTGGTATATATTTTCTGCCTATTCCTGTACTTTGTTATATTAACTGTCAGAAGGCATCATGCAAGCATAGCAGCCCTTCCTAGAGGGGAAAAATGCTGGGGAAGCATAGGATATGCATGAAGATGGAAGTTTAAAAAGTAAGCCACCCTGAGTGAAGTGGTATATGGAATCCCTACCAATATTGCAAGATGTCACTCAAATTAAGTGAAATAAGTTAAAACAAGGGAAAGGATGTTTTCTCATTCAGAGTTCTTACTATGACAGCTTCAGAAGTTACAGGTCCTACAAATATTAAATAAGGCTACTTATCTTAAATACATTGAATGGACTCAAAGATAGAAGGGCATTTTTAAGCTAGCAGAATCCAAGTGTGTGTCCTTGTTGTGGGGGAAAGTACAAAAACAGAGCTGAGAAGAGCTTCAGCTGTTGGATGGTATAGAAATTAAATAAAAAATTGCAAAGCAATGGGCAGCTTCTCTTCAGGTATATGAACTCAATGGGCAGCTGTGTGCACCACAACAACACAACGTGGCAATAAGCAACAGTAGGTTGCTTGTGGTGAGAACCTACAGTATGTCCTAAAAGACAGTTGTCACCCCTTTCTTTTCCTTTGGTCTAGCAGCTCAAGCCATTTTGGCTTGCTGTGGCTCCCCACTTTTTTCTTTTATGGACATCACTTTTTTGTGATCTCAATTTTGACAGCCCTGGCAAATTGCTCAAGTGACGTATTGCAAATACTTGTCAGTGGCTTGCCAACCCATTAAAAAAAATCTCTTGCACCCCAAATGTGCACTAATGGTTTTGCTATTGAAAAAACAGAATTGCACGATTCTATAGGTACAGGGGTATGCATTTCTGTTAGTGCAAAAATGAGAAGCCTTCCTTGGCTAATTTCCTGGGGTATTTTTTGTCAAAATGTAATAGGTACCCACTATGAGTATATGGACCCAGAAAAGCTTCTAATAAGGCTTTTTTGCACTTTGCTTTATCTTGACAGCTATCAAAAAGCAAAGTGTCAATTCAAAGCACAGACAGCACACAAAAAGAGGATGGAGGAATATATCCCCTATTGGCAATGGGAACCTCCTTTTTTGGGTTCCCGATAGGTTTCAGTGCCTCCACGTTTTCTACCCATGCCTGAGGTTCCATGTTCATGGGGAAAACAAAAGAAGTACAGCCCACCGTCCTTTAATAGAGCACGGATTTGGAATGCACACTGGGGAAAAGCTGAAGAACACTGAGAACTGCCAAGTCCAAGCTTAACAAATGAAGGAATTTGCTGCAAAGTGTGTGATAAACCTGCCCTGCCATCCCTTTTCATAAGTAAAGGTATTCACTTGTCTTGGCTTTACATTTGACAATTTGCTGTTTTACAGCTCTCTGGTGAAAGTGGAGTAGAATATTTAAAGATGGATTTTAAAATATGGAGTCTGGTTTGACAGTATTTAACAGGATATTGTACAGAAAAGGCTTCATATTTAGGGAACAGATGCAAAAGTACACAACTCCCAACTACTGACCAAAGGGCAGGAAATTGCACAGATTTTGGGCACATTTGGGTTTTTTTCTTTTGTTTTCATAAGGGTGGCAAATACTGACAGCTGCTTCAGTGTGCTCCTTGGGCACTCTGGAGAGGCTGCCATTTCAAAGAGCAGAAAAAGCCATCTCTGAAAAGAGAAAAGCTGCAGAAATGATGAAAGGGGTTACAAACAGAGTGGAGAAAGGAGAAAAGGACTAAGCAAGAGCTTGAGATGCCTCTGGATAGACTAGGGAGGGGACAACCTACAGTGAGCTCAGTCATCTATTCAACACACCACTAGTTGTTCCATGAACAATCCACACTGCATAACTTATTCACACAATGGATTGCCATTCATGAAAATTCATCCATGTTGTACTGTTATACAATACTAATCCTAGAACACAATACTTATCTTAGCTTCAACATTCAGCCCCTTAAACAAGCCATTCATTAATATAACAGTAATCTAACACAAAGTAACCATTTGAAAGAACTGCTTACACAGACGATCTATGTTCACACTACAACTGTAATTGCACATGAATTACTCACCACTTTTCACCAACCATGAAATCCAAATGGTCATCCACTTGTACACGAGCAATAAAAAATTAAATATTTATTCAAATAATAAGCTTAAGTTCAGGCTGCAATGTAGGCAATGTAAATTTTAAACACATCACAAAAGCGTGCACAAAATGAATTTTGAGCAGAAAAAAATACTACGCATTTTACTAGACTGCTGATTTAAGAAAACAAAGAGCGATTTATAATAATCACTATACAAAATATAAAATGTATTAAACACTACCATCCACAGAACAGTTTTTAAATTGGTTATATTTAAAAATTATTTGTGTAGTTAATTATATATTGAATTGTAAATGATTATATAGCAACCCCCTTTTGGCTGGCAATATCTTGTTGCTCTACAGCACATCCAATCACGTTGCAAAATTGAGCATCATCATTTTTACCATCAATAAAGGAAACAATTATTGATAATACAAGTAAATATTGTCTGATCTACAAAGAACAAAATTATATTTCCTTTGACTTTGAAGTGCTTTCCATGCAATGTCAGCACTTGCTTGTTTTAATTAATTGAGTGTACTACCAAGCAATGTCCAGGATTGCAGATGCTCATAGATAAGACTAATTTTATAAATCAAAGATTGAATGTAGACATGCAACCCTCTCTGCTACTGGGTAAAACCCACTGTGCATCACTTATCAAATTTATTGCCTTTCTGGAATTTCATTCAAGGCATCTGAAATTAGACCTAATGATAAATATACATATAGTGAAAAAGGACACAAACTTCTATTTGATACCACTACTGGCAATGTCTGTGCTACGTGAAAGCACCTTTTAAAAAAGAGCCTATGCGGCAAGAGATAAGTGTCTAAAGATTCAAAATGAATCAACAGTATTGGATAACAATATAATTCTCAACTCAGAAGCTGCCTCAAGATTAGGTGCATCTTCAGTTAATGTAACAGGAAAAAAGGCAATGTGTTTTATTTTAATAAACGCATCCATTCAAACTGACCTAAGGCCACCAGATTTGCAGACACAACGTGTTTCTTTTTCTCTTTATACAGTTCTTTAGGCTGCAAGATGATAAAGGAATAGATCTATTTAAAAAAAATAGCTACTTCATCAAAATTAAGAAGTTGCCCCAGGCGTTGGATTCACGTTCTGAGTGGCCACTTGTGGTGCAACTTCAATGATTCGAGGCTTGTCTATAATTCTGGCAGTGCGATTGCCCTTTTCTACAATCCCAATAATCCATGCTTGGTGACCTTCACCATATTTTGGAGACTTGATTTCAGCACAGAAACGTGCTGCCTGTTCACGGGGTAAACAGATAAGCAGGCCTCCTGAAAGGAAAAAAACTGATGTCAGTGTTTGTTTATATTTTGCATAAAATGTTACTGAATGATTTCTTACAAGAGTTCTTAAAATCAGATCAAATTGTATGTGACACGCAAAGACCTGTGAGCAAAACCTTTTAAGGTGGTAAATTACTTGATTTTTAGCCACCTTCCCAAAACTAAAACACCAGTTACACAGCAGTGATGCAACAGGTGTGACAATATGAAGTATTGATGGCAGCAAGTGGCAACAAAAATGGCAAACTCAAACTCTTAGAAAAAACAAAAGAAAGAATTCTGATCAAGTGCTTCTAGCCAGCACACAATTAATGCTTCCACAAGGATCCTCTCCATGGAAATGGATCATTCTGTTAATTCTGTATCATAGTTTCTCTGTGACAACTAAAGTATTCTGATCCTTAGTCTCCCTTTTCTTAAAATGCAAGAAACCGATCACAATCTTACTAGTGTTTCAGCAAAACTGGTTAGTATGGTGATCTTTTTCTTCCCGTTCTGATACAAACTGTGTGTCCCAGGAAATCTTTGGAAACTTGCTTAGATTTTATTTCAAAACCAAACTAATAGTAAGGTGGCTTTTTATTCATTACTTTATTTATTTATTACTTTTATATACTGCCTCATAACCAAACAGTTCTCTAGACGGTTTACATAATAAAAACCAACATAAAACTTCATACATAAACAATTAAAACCATCTTTTTGTCTTGTATCTGTGGACATTAGTAAACAAGAAATGTATTTGATTTTACATGTAATTACTGCGGCAAGGATTGCATTTGCTCAACACTGGAAAAGTGAAGAACTTCCCACCGACGAACTGATTTTAAAAAAGATTTTGGACTATGCAGAAATGGATAGACTTTACCATTGAAGGAGAAGGAAGATACTGACTTCTATCAAAATTGGGACTCTTATTATTGGCTAGAGAAACAAACCGGCGACCTTTTGATCAACCAGCACAGCGGTTTAAACCACTGCACCACCTGCAGTCCCTGGAGAAACAGGACTTCGTATAGATTTAAATATGTTTTTAAGTTATCATAAATGAAAAAAAATGTGGGGGCTGACCCAGCAGGCCCGATGTTTTTGCTGATTGATGTTGTTTTTTAGTTTTTCTTTGATTTTAGGATAATTTCAAATAAAACTTATTATAAAAAACAATTAAAACCACAGTATCAATAAATAATAAAAATAAGGTAATATCACTCATAGCAGGAACAGCAAGTAATAGTTTTAAAGAACCAATTGGAAAAATCTTAAAGCACTCCAATACTAAATACTAAAATTTACTTTAAAATACCAATTAAAATCAAATTCCAATTAAAATAATCAACAATTAAAATGTTCCTTGAATAAAAATGTCTTGGTATGGCCCCCTGAGTAAGTCTTGGCCTGGCTCCTCAAATAAAAACACCTTGGTCTTTTCTCTAATAACAACTTTTCAAAAGGAAACAAAGTAGTCCAAAGTTCAAGTTTGACCCTAGATCATGGGTGAAGAGTTTGTGGGCCTCCAGTTGTTGTTAAGCTCCAATTTCCATCAGCCCAGTCAACATGACCAAGAGCTATGTAACTGGGAGTTGTAACTCAACAACTGGAGAAGTTCACCAGCCCTATACTAGAAGCTAAGCTAGTAAGATGCCCTAGATTATGGGTCCTCAAACTACGGCCCAGAGATCAGATCCGGCCCACCATGCCCATTTGGACCCATCATGCGCATGCCCACACATGCGCTCGCTGCCACCCACCTCGCCCCACACGCGGGGAAGCAGCGGTTTGCTCGCTCGGAGAAAACGTTCTCCAAGCGAGCAAGCCGCTGCCTTGTGAGCCCGCCTCGCGGTGCGTGCCTGCCCTCGCCTCACCTCCCCTTGCCAGGCACGCCCGCCCCTGCCTCATGCCCCGCCCCCTCGCCAGCCCGTGCACACTGCCGGCACCACCTTTCCAGCCCACGCCCAGCATTGGCACTTTCAACTGGCCGCCTGGTGAAAGAGTTTGAGGACCCCTGCCCTAGATGATGCTAACTCATATCAGAATCATTTGAAGATGGACATTAGAAACAAATTCATTTAAGTCTTTTAGTTACTTTGGGAATGGGGTTGTTCCACAACATAAGAATCCAGAAACTATGAATTGTTTAATGGTTAAATAATAATGCAGAATTAACATAGTAAATATGAGAAAACCCCAAAATGGTTATGTTTCTGGTTTGTTTACTGAAAATTAAAACTGGCGAGTGTAATTAAATGATCCTAGATTTGTACAGAACAGAATGGAGATGCACACCACATGGACTAAATGAATCATGGACAATTTAACATTGGTAAAAATGCAAAAAGCACCACCTAATTCATTGTCATTATTTACTATTGTAAAATGTGGGGTATGCTGTTCCCCCCAAAATACCAAGTAGAACAATTACCCAATTATGTGAGAAAGCAATTCATAGGAATATACCATTAATGCTTTTCCATAGTGCTTTCTTACCAGCATGATATACTTTGCTCTCTTAATGATATTTGTGAACTAACATCCAGCATATATCCCCAAACACTGTAACCTCGAGGAATAGAAGTTTCCAGAGTAAATACATAGCAACAGTAGCAAACTGTGATCTCTGAGAAAAGAGCACCATCTACTGTCCTAGAAACAAATTCTTGGAGTGTTACATGCTTGAAAATTAAGCGATTGCATACCACAGTTTGAATTAAAAAGGCAGGGTTGCAGCTATAACCACAGTGGTTAGCCTTTAGAATCCTGTGGATCAAAACCTTTGTGTAAACCAGTTTTGCTTAACCTGATGCCTTAAGATATTTTGGATTACAACTCCCAGCATTCCTGCTGTATTTTGTGCATCAGTATGGCAAAAATAAACCACTCACAACAGTAATTGTGAGACAGCAATTAAAAGCAGCTATTAACAATGCTCCGTTAGAAGCCTGGGAAATATACAGATCTTTGCCTTTAGTTTACTGGCCCTTATCCAGCCAGTTACTGTTTAGTCACCAAGCAGTCTTCTCCAAGGAAGCAATTCTACAAAGGAGGTGATACCACCAAGGAAGCAATCTCTCAAGTTGCCATTGCGTCTCACCTGAGGTGGCAGGGACAACCACAGTTCTTTGGTACATGAGCATATTAATTCAAGGCCAGGAGCTCATTCAGGTACTTAGTTTGCACTCTGTGGAAGCACAAGCTTTCTGAATTGTTTGGAAACCTCCTAGGAGCCACTGAAGCATGAATGTGTGTTTTTTGTTTTTGCATCCAGTGCCTGTCAGTTGAAAATACTGATGCTAGCTACTAACTGAAGTGTTCAGGCAGACTCATGTATAGCACATTGCATTAACCAACACTGCGTAACTGCAGCCAGGCCACCCATGTCCATAAAGACCAGAGTTGGCACCCAAGCCTCGGCCAACAGAATGTGTATAGTGGAGGGGAGGCCCCCCTGGACCTGTAGAAGTAAAGATGGATCCAAGAACCTCTATGTACTATAAATCTGATCCTTGGAACAAGGGTGAAATAACTCACTCCAGAACAAATATACCTTCAAGTTAAAATCTACTCATAAAGTTTCCAACCTGTTTGGACTGAGTTTTAGTTTACTGGCCCTTATCCAGTCCATTACTGATTTCAGCACTTCTGCTGCCTCACCTGACTCAGATGAAAACTGACATCAATCCTCATATGACTTCTTCTACTGGTTTCATATAGGTTAGTCTTTTCCAACTTTATGCCCTCCAGCTGTTTGAAGGGCATAACCCTAGTTAGCAATACTAAAAGTCAGGCAACTTCGAATTTGTTTTCCAAATCATCAGGAGGGCACAGTGTTGGAGAAGCTAATGCATATGAAAAGAAACACAAGATGGAACCTGCCAAAATTCTTAAAAATAAAAGTTATCAACTCTTTAGCAATTAGCCTTCTTAAAAAAAGAAGCATCACTAGAACACCAAGGCAACCTATCCTGAAGATTGCCATGGTTAATGGTAAGACAAAGTCTAAGAGGATTGGCAAGGTCTTAACCCTTCCCTGTGTTTCTCCTTTACTCCACTACCACAACCAAGTCATTTCCTGCCAAAACAAGACTTCAAAAAGGAGTTGTTTTTCCCCATGGTTTTTCCCCAATATCCCCCCACACCTCATACTTCCTCAATTCTAGGGGAAGGAGCAGCCATGTCAGTCCTTCTTGCAGGTAGCACACTTCCCCTTCCTTTTAATAAACAATATTTAAAGTGACTGATATTTTATTGATAATTTATGTATTTGTGACCATGATACATAATTAGATGTAGGAAATATTTCATATTCTTCACCTATAATTATCAGCTTATTAAGATAATTTTCATTAAAAGCTTTTCTATGACAAATCACAGGAACTGTTGAAGGGACAGGTATCTAATCCCCTTGTTCAGAATTCACTGCATCATCCAGTCAACTGGATTATCTTTCTTTCTTATTTTACTGAAGGCACATTCACAATTCCAAAAGAAAGAACCAGAACCTACCCAGAACTTATTTTTAGTCTTCACCAGCTGTAACACACAACTGCACTACACAAACATCCAAATACCATTTGATTTTATAAAAATAATTCTGAACAACAGCCATCCTATTCCATAAGAGGTATTCTAAATATTGCTCAAACTGTAGAGGACAAAGAAAGTTAACTAGTAATTATCTGGTTAATATCCTCCAGAAAATACAGAACATCTCAAACTCAATTCATATTACATTTATAGGTACATATGTAAAATGCTATGAAATTCTTAGAAATGAAGGACATTTTTAAGCACTGATTTACCTGAAGTCTCAGGACAAGTTCCATGCATAAGACCAAACATATTGCCACATGCCTTGCTAACTGCAGCCATTTTGGCAAGTACAGGAAGGTTATGTATAACAAAAGATACTTCATTGCGCTGTTGCTTAGCTAGATTTTGTGCATGTCCCAGGATTCCAAAGCCTGTGATGTCTGTGGCTGCATGTGCGTTGAAGGTATGCATAAGCCCTGCAGCTTAAAATGAAAGACAGGAGGAAAGGGTTATACAACTTCAAAATGTAGCCTACCTACAACTACTTGAATTTGAAACTGTATAACAAATATATTTAATCAAAACAGATTAGCACTACACCAAGAATGCAAAAGAGATCAAGATTCAATCAATCACACTGGCCCCAGGTAAGCTTAAAAAAGTATTAATACCCATTTCAATTTTCAAGCTTGGAGCCATGGAGACTGAACAGCCTGTACTTGAAAGCCAGATTCAGTAGAGATACCCTTTGTTTGTTTAATAATTTGTCCATGGAGGACCAGGGCAAATACCATTTGTCTTCAGGACTCCAGTGCATCTTTTTAATATACCTGTTAATATTTTTGCCAATTTGGGCATTGAACTCACCAGCCAGTAGGATATTTGCATTTGGTAGGGTTTGTTCAATTCTCTCCAAAAGGATTTGCAGGGAAGCCCAGACAGTGAACCACAGATCTGGGTTTCGTCCAGTTGGAAGATAGACATTAATACAAAGAATTAACCCAAAATATTTACTGTCTATCTGAACTACCTGAATACGTTCACTGTCTGCTCAATCCCTTTGTTGAATATATCCTTTCAAATCAGCTGAAATCAAAGTTGATAATCCAGCACTTGCTCTTCCATACAAGCCTGGCTTAGTGTCAGGGGTGTTATATGAACAGAATCCTGGCAGGAAGGAAGAAGAAATGTCCAGGCACCATGTCATACAGAAAGAAGGCAGAGGGTTTTCCTCCTCAGTTCTCCAACTGCAAAGTACAGCCAGGCCTGAGGTTTCTGATAAATTTTATTGGCTAAAGTATTATAGGAAAAAAGTTTCCAAATGGTTCCATCAAATACTGTGGCAAGAGCTGATTATCCATATGAGGAAATGTATATAAGTACTCCTTTAGGATAGATGGTCCCACCATAATAACTTATAAAATTATTAAACAATACAAAAGGAATAAGGAACCAGGAAAGTAGAGGATTTTTTTAAAAAAAATCAGAAATCAATCTTTACATGTTTATCAGATAGTATGTTACTGGTAAGACAGCACAGATACAAGAGAAAGCAAAGAGCATCGATCCTAGCCAAGTCGGCTATGAGGGTCTCTCAAATTTCACTTCTGATGTAAACAAGTTGGCCAAAGCTGCTACAGAGTTAGATTCTATTATATCAGTTCAACTAACAAACATTCACATGTGTTAAAAGTCTACCTTAAAAATGTTATGAAAAGCATTATATTAAAGATATAAGGAGTAGCAATAGCTCATTAGGGATGGCAAAATCCCAAGCTTCTGTTGCTGACTACCTGAAAATAAGTGATGCATGAAAGAAATAAAAATATTTATACTGGATTGGCAAGAACAGATTATGACAGATTTTAACATCATGACAATGGTAGCTAAAAATGTAAGTATTTTCTTAAGCTTTTATGTGGACATTTAAAGAGACTAGATATAAACTGTACAGGTCTTGATTTGGAAGGCTGGGACAGAATGTTTTGACTCTCAGAGAATTTGGTCCATATTAGAAGCAGTACCATGTTACACAGTGATCTCTACACTAATCCAAATTTAAATCCTTAATAACCATTGGTAATTAAGAAGTGTTCATCAGATATATGACACACCATATACGATATTTTAAAAGGGTGCAGGTATTTGGCTAATTTTATTTAAATTTTAAATAATTTTAAAAAAATTATTTACATGGAGTGCTTAAAGAGCAAGGAAAGCTAATACAATGAATACATGGCATGAAGAATGAAGAATTGCCATTTCAATTAATGGCCAAACACTGGTTCTGAAATCCTCTGATTCTTCCTTCAACAAGCAGGCAAAACTCCCAATTTTGATTTTCAGAGGAGGGTAAAGTGCTTCCATAATAGATGTCGGTGACTTTTGGCTTGTCAGATGTTTTGGCTAACAACTCCCATTATCCTCTTTCACTGGCTACACTAGTCAGAGGTGAAAGAATATGTAGGCCCAAATATCTGAAGGGGCACAAGTTGCCCAACCTATTTTTCAGAGGCCTTTGAAAATCTTTATTTCTAGGAAAAACACATTACAACATTAGCATTTTTTCAGGTTTCAATGCATTAAGAACTCACCTTTTCAGTTGTAAGCATCTATGCTACCTGATTCTTTAGCCATAGTGTATATTTTCTTAAAGCTATTTGTTTTGATATGATGTCTTTAGCTATTTATTTTCTAATTGTTAAAAAACAGACAGGAAGCTATTTCCCATTCTCATACCTGTTCTGTTGAGTCTTGCCATATTCATCATTGCTTCTTGATATGCTAGCTCCACATCTTCTTGTGTAACAACTAACTTGATTTTATTCCATTTTTCTGGCTAATGTGCAGAAGAAGAAAAAAGATCAGTTTGGCTATACTCCTAATGAGTAGTAGTGGTGCTATTACTTTTACTTTAATTAGGCCCTTGCTAGAACCAACCCAAAGGTCTATCTAGCCCAGTGTTCCATTCTTACAGTAAACAATCAATTAGCTGTGTCTGGGAAGGCCACAGGCAAGGCATAAAATCAATTACCTTCTCCTATTGTTAGTTCCCTAGCAGCTGATATTAAGCAGCATTTTTCTTCTGAACATAAAGGATCTACATAGTCATGACTTATAGCCATCAGAACTATGAATCTGTACCATATTATTCTACAATTGTCTTTATTAGTAGCCATCACATCTTATAACCACAAACATAGAAATAATTTCTAAATGCTTTTACTTTTCCTCATGGGAAAGATCTAGCCCACAACCATTTTGTTTGTTCCATGCTTGTTTACCTGATCTAGAAAAGATGCAGCATTCTAAGTGTGGCTGCACCACAGAATTGGCATTATAGTAACAGAAGTTTCATTTTGATCCTTTCCCTAATTAGACACCAGAAAAGAATTTGCAGCACACTACAGTTTTATTGAAATATCCACCATAATCACTACTTCTTAAATTACTACTACAAATTTAGGCCCATCATTTTATATGTGATACTGAGATTTTTCTTCACTCTAAAAGACATTACATTACACTTACATACACTGAACTACATTTGACATTTTGGTGCCCAATCATGCAGAACAGAGAGCTCTTTTTGAAGCTGTTTCCTTTAAACTTGGAGTTTTACCTTCTTGAATACTTTGGCACCTATGCATATTTACTCTAAATTAAATACGTATGTGTTTAATAGGGCTTACTGCCATGTAAGTGTACTATAGATTGCAGTTTTCATTAATTTCAACACTGCAAAATGGAAGATGTCAAATATGAACATGAAACTATTTTGAGATTGCAATTTATATTCTAATCAGCTTCAATACAACAATAGAAATGCCACACAAATTTCAATCATATATAGTAACTGCTACCACCAGGAAAACCTAGTGCAGCAATAAATTAAAAAGTGTTCCAAGTCTGAAGATGTGTGTTAGCAACAGAAGGTGAATTTATCAATGGTGAATCTCAAAATCTACCACAAACAAAAAGCCTGTAGACACTGTGAATTCAATTAGCTTATGATTATCTAATAAACCATCATGGATAATTAAAGCTGCCAGACTGCAAGTTCTGGAATGTTTAATCTCTCAATGCCAAAGAGATCCTGGATTCAAAGATCTGTGGGATTTCTAGATAATTTGTTCACGTCTCCCCATGCCAAGATGGAGGAAAGTGTGCAAACCATACCCCTTGTTCTTCAAGGGAAATCTAAGAGACGAAACGACTACACAAAAGAAACTCAAGGTTGTATGCAATAGTGGCTTAGCAGAAAGTGCTGCTTCAAGATACAAACTCATAGTTGTTAATGGAACGATTCAAGCCATTTTTGCAAGACATAATGTTTAGAAATTTTGCATATAATACAGATGTTCAATCTTGGATTTATTTCTATTCTTTTCCTTAAAAAGAAATAAGAAAAGAACTGAACAGGTGGCATACCCAATAACTTTCTTACATAGTCACAATCGAAAGAGATAGTTTGTTTACAAGCAATATTAGAATTGACTTCTGTCTTGCTCTCCTTTTCGAGTACAAAATATGTGCTTGTTGACAGCCAAGGAAAATTAAAAGCATCTGAAATATATACAAATTCAGAGTATATTTAATTTGCAAGTCCATATGTCATGGAAACAAATGGGTAAGGTGAAACTTGAAAAAAGAATTATGTCATGTTGTTCTTCCACAATTCCTCTATTTATATGCTGCCATTTTCCAAAGTGTCTTACAAAATATGCCTTCATTTATCTTCACACGAACGCTGTAATGTAGGATAAGCTGAGATTCAGTGACAAGCCCAAAGTGAGCTTTATAGCTGAGTGAGAACTAGAACTCTGATCTCCTGAGTCCCACTGCGATACTCTAACCACTTCATGACTCCAGCTACTTCGACGTATTTGTACTGTGCGCAGTACAGAGCTCCTTCTTTTGAAACACATTTCTGTAAATGCGTATGTCAAAACATGGACAGAAAAGTGTTTTTATGGTGAAAAATTTCAATATTGCTACATATAAAGTACCTGCAATATATCTCAGGTATTTTTAAAGCCAGAACAAAATGCAGATACTAACAGAAAATTACTAGCAGAAAGAAAATTTTGCTTTAAACTGCTTCCTATTCACAGGTTAAAATACTGATTAAACTTGAGTAGATATTCAGTAGGGCCAACACCAAACATTTCTATGACCCTTTATTCCAATCACATTTAGATCAATTTACTTACAATATCTAACCACTGATGAACAGCTACAGCAACTTGTGTTCCTAATGGTTTAGTTAACACGAGCACATCTCCAGGTACTGCATTGTCTGGCCTAGGAAAAAAAGGCAATCACATATTAAAAATTATTATTATTATTATTATTATTATTATTATTATTATTATTATTATTACATTTCTATGCCGCCCCTTGCCGAAACCTCGGGGCGGCTTACAACACGATAAAATACATTGAAATACAATAGCACATAATAAATTACCATTAAATACAAAAATACAAAAAATACATTGATTTACAAATATAAGATTAAAATTAAGTAAATAAAAATATAGGAGGAGAAAGAGAAGGAAGAAGA